TGAATGAATGAATGAATGAATGAATGAATGAATGAATGAACAGGGCTTTGAGGCTTACCTGAGCCAGCCTGCAGGCGGCCTGGCGCAGGCCTAGTGCTCATCGCAATGCTTGTTCATGTCCCTCGTCAAGAAGCAACTTGAGCTGCAGCTGCTGGGCGGGCTTGGCTCAGCCTCTGTTCCCCCGCAACTGCGCTTCAGGCCGTAATCAGCCTGAAGGTGGGAGTGCAGCGTGCCTGCCCCGGTCTGTTCTTTCTAATTCTGAGTTGATTTGATTTTGGTTGACTGATGCGGCTTGTTGTGTGGCAGGGGGAGCCGACTGGGTTGAACGTGAGCCTTCCAGATAGCAGCCAGGGGCAGAGAAAGCGTTCCCACCTTGGCCTGCGCGCTCACATCCCTTCCACCCTTCCAGGGCTCCTGAGGGAGCGGGGCTTGTGCTTGCGAACAAGGTGGGCTCTTCAGTGACCCCACTGGCACGCTCTTGTTTTTAATGAGACTGTGAGATGGCCCTCGGGTAGAAGAGCCAGTTCTAAGCACTGTGCCCAGATCTGTGATTGGTGAGCAAGGAAGTCTGTACAGTGCGGGGAGGAAAGGACTGGGCTCTGGAATTGGCCTGATGGTCATGGAATTCTTTCACTTTTATCTGTGCCCCCGATCCAGTAGCTTCCTCAAGCCTCAGTTTTCCTATGTACAAATGGGGCTAATACGAGTACCTGTCTCACATGGTTGTTAAAGGGTGACAAGAGATCTTCAGAACAAGTCCTGGCACATATTTCCCATAAATGTCACCATCATGATTAGCGTTATTAAAATGTCTGTAGCTTTCGCATAATGTCGGGCTGCTTTCCTGCACCGCACTAAGCTCCTGGGCCTCCATGTCTGGCCGGGCTTGTCTTTTTCATCTGGCGCCCCAGGCCTGGCACCGAGCAGGCACCGAGCAGGCAGTCTATGCATGTTTGGTGGATGGGTCCCTGGGCTTCATTTTGCAGATGAAGAAATAGAGGCCCAGGAAGGCCAAGGGGCTTGCCCAAGGTCACACAGCCAGTGGAGGGCCCTCTTTCTGTTCAGTGTGTAACACATTCCTGAGGGGAGACGCAGAGACAAGATGTTCTCTTGGATCCTCCATCAGACCCAAACCCCAGGAATCGCCTGAACACGGCACGTTCTTGTCCAGTTTCTCATGACCTGGGCTCCAGGTTCTTGCTACTTGTGTCTGTGTTGACCGAAGCCCTTAGGGAGAAGCAGGGGACAACCTGCTGCCACCAAGTGTCCCATCAAGTGTCCCCGGGCCGATTCATGTGTTAAGCTCAGGCACACATGAAGTACTACCGAGTTACTTCCTGTTTTGAACCTTCCAAATCTGGGTAGCGGAGATTTAGAAAATAACCCCCAGGCAAGGCGACACCATAATGACCCCGCAGGCCTCTGATGAAGCAATTGGAAAATAAATAGCGAACACGTGCTGGGCCTTCTTTAGATTTGCAATTAAAAGCCGCAGAGTGACTGCAAATGAGAATGGCGTTTGACTTCATCTAAAAAACCCAGGAGCCCAGCAGGCAAACCTAACGCACTTCTTGAGGGGACACCATTTCTTCACATGGTGCTCTGGTATTTACAGTGTGAATAAACTGGGCCGAGTTCATTTCTTGGAGCAACCTGGGTGCAGACAGGAGGTCTGAGGGGGAGCGGCGCCAGCTGCCAGGGCAGCACCGCGGTCCTTTATGACCCGTCTCGCCTTACTCTGAGTCAGAGGCCGGCCCAAGCAGGAGTTGCTTCTAGGACAGAAACTGCATGAAGTTATTCTTGAGTCTCTATCCATCAGGACAGCTGCAGGAATTATTTTAAAATGTTTGTGACAAGAATTGCCACTAATTTAATCCCAGAGAAGATACCTAAGAGATTTTTAAGATGTGATCAAAAGTCCCTTCTGGATTAGTAGCGTGTCTTTAGCTTCACATAGTCAGCTTTGTAACTGACTATCCACATTTTATTTGGAAATCGAGTAAGAGCAGGAAGAAAGGAACCATCAAAATTGTTCCCATAACATCAGATTTTGCCTGTGTGTGTATTGTTTATACATGTGCAAATGCTCCTTAGATGACTTTATCGTGTCACATCGTCTTGATATTTTAAAGGAAGAAGGTGAAGGAGGTTGACCTGTGAAAGGAAACAGATGCTTTGCTTTTATCTGTTTGCCGGCTTATTGTCAACTCTTTTCCAAAGTGGTTTGCAGGAGCTTATAGAAACTCACGGAACACTTCTTAGTAAATGTGGTTCATTAGGTAAAGGAAAAAATTAAGAGTAGGGGAAAAATAAAGCAACTAAACGTAGTAAGCAAAATACATACTCCGAGGCCTACACTTGTAGCTTCTTAGACGCAGAGAGGGAAATGGGGTCTGTTACATAATTCAGCGTCCATAAGAAGGACAGATAAGCTGGTTGGTTGTTGAGGAAACACTGGGCCCTTCCCTAATCCATTATGGGATTTGATTAATCATCTCAGAAATGTTCCCACAATAAGAAGAAATGTGGCTCTGAGCTCCCTAGAAGCCACAATGAAGGAAGCACGCTTATTCCTAGAGCTGGTTTTTCCCTCATAAAGAGGACACTGGCGCAGTGAAGACCATCCTTTCCTTAAATATAATAGCGACTTTATTATAGCAGCATTTGCTCCTGGAGGGAAAACATGGAAGCCTGCAGTGGCAGGGAGGGGTTGGAACCAGAGACATTTCTTTCCCTGATTTTAAATCTAGAATTTTAGGTTTAGCTCATAATGATAAATCCTAACTATTAGGATTGGGTGTTAAGGATAGTTTTAAAATATGCCTCACCTTGGCCTCACCACATGCTTGCGACCTTGGGATGCCCTGGAACACTTGGTTCTTAGAGCAGGGAAGGGTGTCTGGAATGAAGGAGTAGCATAATTTATGGAGCATAAACCATGTTCCAGGCACTGTACCTAGCACCTTATGTTTCCATGTGACCGTGGCACCTGCTCTCTCAGAGAGGGCGTTATCTCCACTGTACAGATAAGGAAACCAGGGCCGAGACAGTACAGGGCTCCTGCGGGGTCACACAGCCAGTAGGGCCAGAAAGCAGAGATTTGAACCCAGATCTGCCTACTGCCAGGGAACCTGAGGCCATCTCATGCCATGTCGTCCAGTTACTGTAATCCTGGTGCCAGTGGGGCATGTAGGCCCACGCAGAGCTTCCCAGCAGGGTACCAGTCCCCAGGCCAGGCAGTGGGCAGTGACCACAGGCCATTGGAATAGAGGAGGTTTGGGGACAGGGGAGGCTGAGTCCCCAGTCCAATGGCTGCAGGACCTATCACCATGCCCTGGGAGACATTTCTATTAGAACAGGAAGCCAGGGGCAAGTGGACACACTTAAGGATGTTCTCTCCCTCCCAAGTTTCCTGCCCATGGATAGACGAACAGGCAAGCGCTTTGCCACCAAAGCAGGTGCCCGGGCTCAGAGAGTGCTCCAGCCTGTGGCTCACCCATTGTGACTAACAAACACAGTCTGTCATATGGCAGCAAAGGCCAGATGTTCAGTGTCTTATTTTCCAGATACAACCACTGTTGAGTGTGTCAGCTCGTAGAGCTTCGTCATCCATCTACAATATCTAATTATATTTACACACACATACAGTGTGGGGCGAATGTAGGTTGACAGTTGTGAGTATGCGAAACAGTTTATTGTATCATTATTTATTATTATTTTCCATATGAACAACTGTAAACTTAATTTGTCCCACCATGTGTATATTTATAAATGTACAACCATATTATATAGAGTGTGCTGTAACTTCCCTTTTTCTTCACTCGGCAGTATGTCAGCCACATCTTTTCATGTCGATATATAGAGATCTAATTATTTTTTGTAGATATGTACTTGGTTACTTATAGAAGTACTTCTATAGGATAAATTCCTAAATGGAAATGCTGGGTCAAAGGACATGAACATATTAAGTTTAGACAGTGATCATCATATTGTCATTCAAAACGTTTCCGTTTCTGGCATTCAGTTAATGCCACCAACCAGCTTTGGAACTTTTGATGGGTGATGTAAGCTTTGTGCTTCATTTTCCCTACTTGTGAGATGAGAATGATTATGTCTCAGGAATAATTCTAATGAAGTCATTGCTTTGATAATACCATGGCTCTTTAAGAAGAAATATATCTGTAAATCTAAGGTGTCACTTTTATTTAAAAATTTTCTCCCATATCTTCTCTATTATAACCTGCAAAAGAAATT